AGGACAGAGCTCTTTCCCTCATGATGTGTGAGGTATTCCCACAGAATCCGTCCTTCCCTTCCTTTCCTCCTGCCTACCCACAAGCCCTAGAGCTCAGGTGAATCCGCATTCAGATCAGGTCAGCACACACTGGAGGACTTGCCACGCCCGAAATGTACGAGAATAGCATGGAGCTTAGTCTTACAAACACAAGCGGTGCTTTCTAGTTTAAACGACTGTTACAGGTTGAATTGTGTCCCCCTAAAATTCTCATGTTAGAGTCCTCATCCCAAGCACGTCAGAATGTGACCTTATTTGGAGATGGGGTCTTTATGGAGGTAATCCAACCAAAGTGAGGTCACTGGGGGGCCCTCATCCAGTATGACCAGTGTCCTTATGAAAAGGTGAAATCTGGACCCAGAGACAGACACGCACAGATTGAAGATGGTGGGAACGGATGGGGAGAAGATGGCCTTCTACAAGCCGAGGAGAGAGGCTGGGAACAGCTCTCCCCTCACCCCTCAGGAGGAACGAACCCTGTGGACCCCTTGATCTCAGACTTCCAGCCATCAGAAGGGTGAGACAGTACATTTCTCTTGTTTAAGCCCCCCAGTCTGGGTGCTTTGTTTTAGCAGCCCAAGCAAGCTAACACATGACGCTTGGCCAGGAGGATCTCATATCTGTCAGCACCTCTCTGTTTGGCTTTGAGCCATACGGAAGGACGGGAAGACGGAAGGAAGAAAGGGTACAGCTGCAGCACTGCTGTATTTGCAGCCCTGGTTCCTTTGCCCCTAAGCACGAACATCCACCCGGTACTAACACTGGGGAGATTCTGAGCAATGGGGCCAACCTCATTGCCACGATGGACCTCATATTTTTTCCTCCCATGGGCACTATGTTTTGAAAGAACTTTTATCTGTAAATAATTTCATGTATTAAATGAATTTTACAATTTAAGCATGCAAAGCCTGTATCATTGCCAATTTATGATTCATGCAGAGCATTCCTGCACAGCATGAGAGAACCAGCCGAAAGGCCAGGAATCTCTGTGTTTAAAGTTGGTCCATGCTGTTTTATTGAGAGAACATAAATTTTGTCTGGCTTCCTGACAAAATGAAAAAAATTTACAAACGCATCATTTTATGTGTGCCTTTGAGGAGTCCTTTTAAGTACCACTTTGAGACTATGGAGGAATAAGGTGAAAGACTAAAACAGATGGGGTTCAAGATACATATTTATCAGAGATAAAAGCCAGGTTGCAGGGTCCTGCTAAGAATTCTGGGTAAAAATTGATTGTGGACACCGTAGCTCTGAATCAGGTAGATATACCTACCCGACCACTGCAGCTGTGGGCCCCAGAAAAAAGAGCTGAACCCCCACCTGCTGTGGGCCAGGTACTGCCAACAGGAAAAGAGCAGATTTGGACATGGCAGGTCCAGTTTATTCTTCCTAAATTCACCAATCTGATATGTGACTCTGCCTTTCTGGGGCCAAGATGCAGAGAGATGCCTGAGGTATGAGGTGCCCACGGCTCTGTACTTAGTAGGAAATCAGGCGTAGGCAAGAAGTATGTACCTCTAATTCAGGGGTCCGCACACAAAGGCCCTTGGGCCAAATCTGGCCCACTGCCTGTTTTAATAAAGTTTTATTAGAACACGGTCCCATGCTCATTCATTTAGTATTATCTATGGCTACCACCAGAGTTGAGTAGTTGCAACAGGAAACCATGTGACCTGAAAGCCTAAAACAGTGACTATCTGTCTCTTTACACAAAACGTCCGCCAACCCCTGCTCTGATAGGTTACTGCCCCTGGAAGGTAGGAATGGGCCTTTGAATGAATGAATGCAAAACAGACTTTATAAAAAAAAATTGGTACAGTTTTGATAACTGGGGTCACAGGCAAATTCAAATCCTGAAGTCTTTAGTGTCGCACAGAAGAAAATGATGTAGCAGAAATATTAACACCTGAATAAAAGAGCCTTAAAGGCTGCAAGAAAAACAAAAAGCATTTCAAAGTACATTTGTAGGATAGCCACCAATGGTAATAACATGCTCCTGGGGATTATAGGAATGAGCATTTAATCGGCTGGGGGGCTGCAGAAGCTGATTCTCTACCATGAGATCAGTTGGACCGAAGAGGATGAACTTTGTATCACAAATTTGCTAGAGGACTCAGCTGCCTCTCAGTTAACTGTGAACCCAGGCCGTACCCAAAGCTGAGAAGAAACATGGCAGAATAGCTCTTAAGTCAATTACTGTGGGGCACACTTAGTGATCGGTTAGTAGCACAGGCCAAGGAGTCTTGGGTAAAAATACTGGCTCCGTGTTACCAGCTGTGCAGACTGCCCAAGTCACAAACCCTCCGTGTCACTTTCTATGAAACGGTACCAGCTTCATGGGGCGATTAGGGGAATTAATTTAATTCATGGGTATACAGTGGCACATAGTAAACCCCATGTAAGTAGGGCTATGATTATTACCGTTTGCTTTTGTTAGTGATCATTTGAGTTCCCTTTCACTGAAGGTTAGTTTCCGGCCCGTGTCTTAGATGTCTCGCCCTTGTTTGCTGTCAGAGATTTACAGGTGAGGCAGGTAATCTGAGTGTCATTCTGGTGGCTTCTAATCTAAGGCATCTCCCCTGGAAGAGCCCAGAGTTCAGGCTTTCAATGCAGCACACTTATTTTAAGCCCCAGTAATGCCTTGGATCCTGAGACAAATTTGTCATCTAAAGCTGCCAGCTGAAATGTGATCAACTCCCATACTGCCCCCTAGGGACCTGTAGCAGCGGGGACTTTTCCTATAAAATATTGTTCCGATGGCAGCAAGGCAGATTCAGTTCAATGATGTTTTTAAATTTTTTTTTCCTTCTTCTGCCTTGTGCAACATTTCTGCCACTGAAATGGAAAAGCTAAGTCAAAGGACAATGCCCTTTTATGAAGGATTTTATTAAATTTCTCAAAGTTTAAGAGCTACATTAAAAAAAAAAAATTCTTAGGTGGTTTTAGAATATGCTTTCCCTCATGGTAAGCCGGATTGTGGATAGCTCTGTCTTGGGTGAAGCGTGGCTCAGAAAGCCTCACCCTAGCTTTAGTGAGATGAGCCCACTTTCCTTCTTGGTGTGTGGTAGAGGCAGGGAGGCGAGGGGCTGTTTCTTGACCCTCCTGATCAGGGAGTTGCCCTTCACTGAATGCAGCCAGGCACTTTGTAGATAAAATGATGCATGTTGACTGTCCAGAGATGCCCGCGTCCAGTGTATAGGACGTGTTCGTATGAGCCTGCCACCCCCCATCCCTCTGAGATGGAGCCTCTTCATCCTTAGGCACGGAGCAGTCTGCCACGCAACCTCAGCGGCTCCTAAGGGCTCTGGAGGAGCGGTAAGCTCCAGTTCTGGTGCTCCTTTACCTCTTAAAATCTAGGCAGACCCTTGCACCCACAAGCCTTACAATAAAAATGAGTGCCCGCTGAATGAAATTATGAGCACCCCCACAGACGTTTCCTTCCCCCTCCCTGCCAGTTTTTCCTCCTGTGCCTGTTTTAGTATCAACCGACTAAACATTTTACTT